GCTCTTGAATACAAGGCAGGGTATATTAATAAGTTTCAGATCTAAAACCCACAAAACAGAAAATAAACAAAGATGATAGAAATGATATATAAACCCAAACTGTATTTTGAATAGTAAAGTAGATAAATCTCCTGAACTTGAAAACTTAAAGAAAAAGAGAGAGAGAGAAAAGGTATAAGCTATAATAGAAAGGAAAAGAAGTCATGATCACAGATGTGGAAGAGATTACAAAAAAAGTTCATGAAACGAATTGGAAATATATTTGACAGCTTAGAGGAAAAGGGTGTCATAAGGGACAGAAATCTGAAAAGGAGCCAGCTCAATACACTAAACGCTACAGAAAATGCTGGAAAATTGAACAAAAATAAGCCACTAAAGAAATTAATAGGAGCAGATGGCTTTGTGGCTGTGTTTGATTAAATCCTCAGAGATTACGCAATCCATGTATTTAAACTATTCCAGGTCAGAGGGAAAGATGTCAATCTCCTTACATGTTTCATAAATCCAGCATAATCTCAGCATTTAATTAATATAGTGCAGATAAAGTGCTGCCATCCAACTTCTTATGAGTTCTATGTCAAAAATTCGAATGAAAGCATCATGAAACCAAAACCAGAATTATATAAGATATAAACTAAATTGGGCTATTACTAAGTAGCATGAATTCCAGGAATGCAGGAACGAAATTGAGAAAATTGTCAGCATGATTTTATATGCTGAAGGAGAGAAATCCCTCAACTTTATCCATAAAGATAGTATGCTTAAGGCCTTTGGAAACATTTGCTAAATAGTTCTAATAAGAACTGTGTGAAAAAGAAAAGAGATTACTTAACCCATGACTAAAGCCTGCCCAAACCATCAGTACATAAATAAAAATTGTTTATGCTAGCTGGTCCACAATATAAAATTGAATAGCAACACTTACTCTTGGCAAAAACCGTAAGATAATTGGTATAGATTTGAAAAAGGCTAACAATGACATCTTATTGTAGGGAATAGGCTTGCATGGCTGCAAAAACTAAGAAACAGCCACATTACTAAAAGGAAGTAAGAAGAAAAGGTGGGATACTGATTGCTGTGTTAACTTTCTACTATTGTGACAAATAACCACAAATAATCTTACAAAGAGAAAAGGCTCATTTGGGCTCACAACTCCAGAGGAGCCAGAGCATGCTCAGTTGGCCTTTTCTGCATTTCAGCCTCAGTCAGGCCGAGAACACGTCAGAAGCACGCAGTAGAACAAAACCACCCACCAGAGGGCTGGAAGGTGAAGACGAAAACCAGAGTGTAATAAGATAAATCTAAAAAAGAAAAAAGAAAAAAAGAAAAAGAAAAGAAAAAAACAGTATTATTTTGTATATTCACTGCAGTGCAAAAGCCATGGACACTAACTTGGAAATAAGTTCTTTAAAAAGTATACATAATGTATGCTTTAAAAAAAATCCCAAATTTTTATGTAAAGACAAAAATTTCTAAACAAATGCACTAGGATACCCTATTTTTAGATGAGAAGAGTTAAAATCATGAAAATTCTGTGCTTGCAAAATTAACATAAATGTATACTGACTAAAAATCCCTGCATGTGCTGAGAGGGCTGGGAGTCATTAAAATTATTTGAAAACACACAGTGAGGAAAAATGGTTTAGCATTAGCCAATAAAATGAGAAGAAGAGCAAGACTAGTGAGGACAGATTAAATCTAAGAGGCAGCAAAACATTCTACAAAGCTACAATAGCTCACTGGGAATGGCACTGACTCAGAGAGACAAACAGATTAAGGGCACAAAAAGACTTGTATTTTCTACTTCAGTGGGGATTGGATAGTCTGTTCGTAAGTGGTGCTGGGAAAACTGGCTCTCCATTTGTAAGAAAATGGAGAACAAGTTTCTCTAAATCAACATGAGCAAGGCTGCTATGAGTTCACAGAGACTGAGGCAGAATGCACGGGGCCTGCACAGGTCTGCACCAGGTCCTCGGGGTGGTTTATAGTGTCATTTCCAGTTTAGTGTTTTTATGGGTTTCTGAGTGTGGGAATGAGCGAGTCTCTGATTCTTGTGCCTGCTCGTGGGCTCTTTTCCTTCCGTTGGTTTGTCTTGTTGGACATCAATATAATAGTTTTTGTTTTATCTTATTCTATTTTATTTTGTTTAAAAGGAAAAGAAAGAAAATGGAACAAGATCCTAACCTTTGATTGTATAAATTCCATGTAAATTAAATCAGTGCTTGTAAAATGCAGAATAAGGGAAGGCGGGAAGTGAAAGTAAATAAAATCAGCGTTTGAAGGATATTTGCCGCATAAATGACAGTTAAAGTGTTATTGTCTTGAATATACAGTGAGAGTTTGCACACAGATAGACCAAAGCCAACAAGAGGGAAAGCATAAAGGAGTTGAATTGTCAATTCACAAGGAAATGGGTCAGGATGGGTAACAAACAAATAAAAAGATGACCAAAGTTTTTATGAGGGAAATCTAATTCTACAAAAATTGAAGGACTGTCTTGTGTTCCCATCTGAGGAATTGTTAAAGTGATTGGAGCTGCTCTAAGTGAGAATTTGGAGAAAAGATATCATCATGGATAGTTTTATAGAATGTATTATTGGGGAGGCGATCTGCAAATACTTTAAAAATACAAATAAGTAAGATAGATAGATAGATAGATGATAGATAGATAGATAGATAGATAGATAGATAGATAGATAGATAGATAAAACAAAGTTTAGGGGTTTGAAAATTGGACCAGTTGTTCCTTGCTGGGTTCAGTTCCCAACTCCCACATGGTAGTTCACAGCTGCCTATAATTCCATTTCTTAGGGATTTGACACCTCTTCTGACCTCCACAGGTGCCAGGCACACAAGTCTTCACATACATATATGCAGGCACAACACACTCTTAAACATAAAATAAATAAAATTTGAAAACTTTTAAAAAGTAAGGGTTAAATTATAGAACAAACAAGCAAACAAAAACCACTAAAAGTATCCACAATGGCCCAGCCATTCATTCCCTGGGATTCTGCGTCAAAGAAATAAAAGCCGTGGTGTGCAAGGATGTTGACCACAGTTTCATTTCTAAAGGTACAATTCTGAAAAACAAAGACGAGAAGCACCTTTGAGCAAGTGTAGGGAGGAGGGGGGATGAGACAACCAACAGGCAGTCTTGGAGCTGCTGCTGAATGCTCTGATGGAAGGAAATATCAAAGCATGGTTGAAGTTATTATAGAGACAGACGTGGCAAAGGGCTATCTCCACTTACAGGTATTAATTAAGAATGAATTCACACTTATTTTGGGGAGAAATCAAGGACCAACTTCAGAACTCATCCTCATCTTTACTTTCAGTTCTACATATTTGGATGCTAAATGTTTTGGAGATTTTAAAGAATTAATTTTAAATTATAATGATGATTTTTTTTAGTGTACTTATCAATTCACAGTCAGTGAGATTATAGAATACTGATTTTTCTCTCAGTATTTCATATGATCATGATGCACCGTTGTTGTGTTTTGTAAATTTCTAGTGCTTGCCAGATGGAGTGACCTATTTGTCGTACACTCAGGAATCCCATAAAAACACTCCACTGGAAGCCATATATAAGCACAGAGGACCTGGGGGCACCCTGTGTGTTGCTGGTTTCCACAGTCAGCCTAGCTCATAGTAGGAATTCAATCGTTGGTTCAAAAAGATGGAATTCCATTTTCCAGAGTGCTTTCCCATTAAGTTACCAAAGGCTGACAAACAAGAATTTCTTAACCCCGGACCATCACATCCCTCCTGATGCCAAAGACAGGCTATCATTTAACTGCCCAAAGGATCTGCAAAATGCAGACCTCCAGTCCCAGTGAATGCCAATTTTACCTTCAGTCAAGTGTGTGTTTGGCCGGGTAAGAGGTGATTAAACCTATCAGAGTATTACCTTGTGGACTGGAGGCACACCACATTCTGGTGGTTTCTAAGGCAACTATTAAACAGCCTAAGAAGGGAGGCCTTATTTAGACAGCCACCCTTGGAAAGGTAGGTTTTCTTCTCCAGCAGGACCTAGTGGGAGACAAGGCTTGTTTGTTTGAATGTTTTTCATTTCTCCAGATTTCACAACACAAGGTGCTCCGATACGTTTTGGTAGAACCTCCTGGAAAATGTTACCAATATAAATATGTAGAGAACTCGGTTTTGCCAATTCAAAAAAACACTTGGTGTGATTACTGGTAAATAGAAGGCAATTCAATGAAAACCCTGTTTTTCTTTTAGCCTCATTTTTTTTTTATTTACTTATTTTCAATGGTCCTATTGAGGACGTTGAGCCAACACCTCCGTGAAGGACTCCCTTTTACAAAATCCACAGTGCTGGGTGGGTCCAAGACAGACAGGCTTTTCATGCTGTTCTTCTGTGCAGCCTTAGCAGCTACCTTCATGAGCCTCGCCTGAAGTGAATTCAGTGGTTCTCTGCACTGAGCTCCTTTGCTTTACAAGATGGCTTCCAGGCAGAGTCAGGGTTGCTTGCAATGGGTGCTAACCACATTTTCTTTCTTTCTCTTGTTAAACAGCCACTCTGAGGTCCAAGCAGAAAATAGCTCATGCATTTCCATAGTGCTTCCAGCCTCAACCATAGGCTCAATTTCTCTTTATGGACTTATTACTCAAATCCCTGAAATGAAGTAATTTTTTTTCATTAACTCACTGACGTATAACGGGAGCATTTCATTGCCCCATAAAAGTTACTACCTGTGCTCTTTTCTCTTGTGAGAGGAATATTAAATCTTAGCTATCAGATGTGAGAGGCAATATTTGCTGCTCTTCGATGCAAGAATAATGGTGATTACATTTCCATACATTTTCAGGGAAATGATGGCTCTTATCCTGAAGCTGAGCTTCTTGGGGATACTTCAAAATGGCGTTATATTCACACACCTTCTAGAATGACTCCATCCTGCAAAGCTTATATTAGAACATAAATTCTGAGTTCTTATCAGCTTGGTTCACTAATATATCCTTGTTCCTTCTACAGCACCTGGTATGTAGGAAGACCATTGAAAACTGACAAGTGAGTAAAATGGATGCAAGGGGTGTCATACATTGTAAGCTGGGCCATGGTGACAATAACGTGGCATGTTAACTGGGGCTAGTAGGGATTTTTAGTGGCTCCACCCCCAAAAGTAGAAATTGGTGGGGACTAGGTGGTTGTGAGCTTGCAGGGGAGGCCATTTCAGCAAAAATGACCCCATTCAGGTGCATGGATACAAAAAGTGATAACAATGATAATCAGCTGCTATCTACTTTACACACATTACAATTAATTCACACAGAACCCAGTCATGAATTCCAAAGGATTAATGATGCTCCTGATGCTACATACACAGTAAGTGGTAGAGTTCTCACATCCCAGGCTCCTTTGCTATTAGCATGAGCATACTAGTCCTTGCTATAGATTTATATTTAAGAGGGAAGGCAGGGGTGCCTAATGACTAGATCCCAAGAATTTGTAAGTCAGAGGCCAAAGAACCGAGGGAACCTAGATAGGATCATCGTCCCTCCGTATCCTGATAATTTTGAGCAGGTGGCAGAGACCCTGTCACCAGGCTAGGAATTTTTGTGAAGAGATGGGAACATCAGGCTAGGGATGGACACAATTCCAGTCTCAGAGGGATTGGGTTACTGGCTAGCTTGCAGAAACAGTGTCTCAGACACAGGGTATAGAAGTATTTTCTGTTACTGAGCGATAATAAATGATCACAAATTTAGCTTACAACAATCACTGTGTTCTTTCTTTCATTACTATACTAATAAAAAGAAAACAGACTTACTTTGGTTCACAGTTTTAGAGCTTTGAGCCCATGCTGAAGCAGCAGTTTGAGACAGTAGCCAGGGGGAGGGCAAAACCATTCATCTCGTGGTTAGGAAGCAAGTCAGAGGAGGAAGAAAGGGCTGGAGTCCTTCTGCCTCCTTCAAGAGATGAGTCCTAAAGACCTGGAGCTCTCCAGGTCTTCTTCAAACTTCCATCACCTCTCAATAGAGTCACTGGAGAACCAGCATTCAACACTTGGGCCAATTAGCAACGTTTACGATCTAAACCATAGCACTCAACAGATTCAGACAATTCAGAGTTCTACAGATCAGTTCAGGTGGGTCCCACCGAGCTTTGAGGTCCCGACCCCATGGCTGCCTCCATTCATCGGTGGAATTTTTCTTTCATCAGAATGCTGTGACACTCTGAATCCATTTGGCTTCTTTTTCTACCAGCCGGACCAAAAGGGCTGGTATGACTGGACTGGGTCCACAAACTCACATTGGCATTATAAGATAATTGATGAGTGACCTTAACTACATTGAAAGCATATCTTTATTTCATGTCATGACATACAATCATAGGGATGAGATCATTATACAATGAATAAGGATGGAAATTTTGCGGTGGGACATCTTCGAATTCAGCCTAACAAACAAAGGATGCCTCAGCATCACATAAAGGCAATAAATTTCAATGACCAATATGATCACTTATTCTGATTTTTTTTTTCTTTTCTTTTTTTTTTTTTTTGTGAGGAGGTTTGCAGCTGAGGTGAAGGAGAAAAGAGGTCAGGAAGACTGCCAAGTGTCTGTGTGTGGAGGTCACACGTCTGACATCCTCAGGTGTGGTATCAGAGGTGCGTGACTGCTTTTTGGCACTGGGGATTCGGCGGAAGGAAGAGAAGGGTATGATAATGACGGGGGAGTCTACACATCTCTGACCTCCTCTGAAACACGGACTTGGACATGGAAAAAAGTAAAATAAAAGAAAAGCTTTTGCCTCGAGGCCTCCTCTCCTGTTCCTGGTTGTCACTTGGGTGTTCAGAAACAGGCAGGGGACGCTTGCCTGCAGAGTGACTTTGTAGCAGCCCTCCCTCCTCAGCAGCCAGCTCCATAACCTGACACTGAAGAATGATAATTTACGAGGCCTTTGCTATTTTTGTTTCTTTATGTGGCAGGAAAGAAAACTCTGTTTTTCAGAATAAATTCCCTCCATTTAGGCAGAGAACTTTGGCCAAAGGCAATAACTAAAAATAAGTCTTCCTTTCCTGCCTGTATTCCTGGGCTTCCTCACTAATCAGAAGATTCTTCGGGGACAGTGCAGACAGCAATCCTAGAATATTTTTCGCATCTCTGAGTTCCCCAGCTGGTACAGAAACTGCGTTCTGCTGAGTGCCTTGCTTACCAATTTGTAATGTGTGGCTTGCTCCTGACAGTATTAAATGTCACCATCAACTGTTGGGCAGAATTCAGCTTTCTTGCCTCCCGCCTTCAAAACATACTTAAAAACAAACAAACAAAACAAAACCAAAAAAAAAAAAAAAAACACGGAAGCCCCATTATTTTCACTCATAATCAGATGGGCTAGATCTGGCTAGTCAGTTGCTGGACTCTTTAAACCAGCAGCTGCCCCCAATTAACCTGGAAAGGATTTCAGACTCCAGGCCTCCTTCTCGGAGCAGGCAGCTAGCTAGCAGTTTATCCACACACTCTGCTTTGTGTCTGATGATCAGACCATGCATGCCTTTTCCCCTAGCCCTATCATTTAGCTTCTATAACAAGAACTAGCAAGTATAATAACTCTCCCTCCACTTTATTGCAAAACTAGCAGCAATATGTACAGTAGGGTAATGCTTTTTGCTCATATACCCACCATTTAACTACTTCACATTTGCGAGCAGACTGTGAGGTGGGATCTCAGGAGGGCGAGACTGGTAGAGTTCCTTCGGCAAGGCCTTGCTCATCCCAAACAGAAGCCACTTTGTAACGAACCCTAAGAACATTGAAGTCACTAAACTGCCCCATAAGACATAAGAAGCTCTGGGCTTGTAGGTATAAAGCTAACAGATGAGAGAGAGGTATATGATTCAGCCACTTGACCACAGATAGCAAAACACGTTCTAAACAAATCCTTGTTCCAGTGTTTAACCTTGAATCTTGTTTTGTTTTGTGTTGCTTTTAATAGCTGTAGAGTTACTCTGTCCCTGCCAGCCTGTCTTTGGAGAGCTTGGCCACCCTTCACTGGGATCAGTAAATGAGATGTCTATCAAGCAGACGACCTGGGCGTCATGGTCTGGGAAGGGTTTCTGAGCACCAGTGTGGACGTGGCAAGTACACAGCCCTGTGCTGTGCCATGGAGACAAAAAGTCCCTTTTCTCCTCTGTAATAACAGGCAAGAAAAGACTTGGTTTTGTTGGGGATCTGGAGGATATCAGGTATAGTATTAGTTTCTAGGACTGTCCAATCAAAGTGCTATGAAGTGGGGGCTTCTCACTGGTATGTGGCTTCCTCATAGGTCTGGGGACTAGAATCCAAAATGAGTGCTGGTTGGCTGTGTGCTCTGGGAGACAGGCATAGTACCTTGTGTTTCCTAGCTTCCGGGGGTCACTGTCAACCCTCATCTGTCCAGTCTTGGCTTCTACAGCTCTCTAACCTATGTCTACAGCCTCTGTTCACTCAGCCCCAGGAAGACTTCCCTCCGATTTTACTTCTGTAATGAGGAAATACAGTGTTTAGGGGATTAATGTGAGCACCCTGTTTCCAAGGGAGAAGACCGTGACACTGTTTACCTTTCTAGTTGGTGGCATGAACCTGGGAGTGTGGGGCCTAAAAATGAGGCGGACTAAAGTTCTCATACAATAGCCGACTTTATTCTGAGCATCAGACTGTTTATACCCCGAGGTTAAGAAGAGTCACATGAGTAATGTGTTCAATCACAAGGACAAGCCACATGTGGCAAAAAAACATGCTTTTCTATAGAGATGCATGAGCTGAAGTCAACTCACTCTTATCCGCTGCACTTGGGAGGAGTGTGGAAACAGATTCCAAGAACGATTCTGTGTTTTGAAGAAACTGAGGTCACAAGACTCTTGTCTTGTTGTCTTGGAGTTTTCTCATAAGCACTCAGAATTCTCACACAGCTCCATTCTTGGACTGTGCTCCGACATGGCACCCAACCTTAAATGCACCATGGCACTGGTGACCCAGCCCTGGATGGGGTAGATATTTACTTTTAGTCTATTTATGGAATTAGCGACCTTGTGAGCTATCCTGGGTCCTACACATCTGGGAGAGAACAGTCTTCACTTATCTCTTTCTGGAAATTTGCCTCTTACACTGTCACTTCTAAGAGTATGATAGGATTATATTTCTGAGACTAAAGTCTGTCATACAGTCCTCTGAGTTTCTCTCTCCAGCCTGCTCTCGGGTTTGTTCTTTCTGAAAAGTCCTTTTTGTTGTTAAAGTAAGCATTTGGTTTTCATTGTTTATTTATGTGTTGTATGCACGGCAAGTTTACATGGTATATGCGTGTGTTTGTGCAGGTGCTCTTGAATGCATGCCTATGCACTTGAAGTCCAAAGGTGGAAGTTAGATGCCTTTCTCAATTGTTCTACTCACTGTTTGAGGCAGGCTATTTTTTTTTTTTTTTTCAAGACAGGGTTTCTCTGTGTAGCGTTGCGCCTTTCCTGGAACTCACTCTGTAGTCCAGGCTGGCCTCAAACTCACAGAGATCCGCCTGGCTCCCCTCCGGAGTGCTGGGATTAAAGGCGTGCTCCACCACTGCTGGGCCGTTGTTGAGGCAGGCTATTTTACAGAACCCAGAGCTCATTGATTTGCTTAGGTTGGCCAGTGAGTTCCAGGGAATCTTTCTGTCCTAGACTCTGAAGCACTGGGATTATTGACTCAAGCCATCATGCCCAGCTACTTTTTTTTAACCATGTATTACCATATATTGTGGGGTTGTAAACTCAAGCCATTATGCTTGCAGGGGACAGGCCCTCTACTGAAGCTATGTCTTCAAGACCTTGTTTAGTGTGTTATTAATACAATTTATGTTATTTTTTAAAGAATTATGTTTATTTGTGTGTGTGTGTGTGTGTGTGTGTGCGTGCACGTGTGCGTGTACGTGCACATGCATGCCCACACAATGTATGCTTGTAGAACTCAGAGAACAACTGCCAGGAACTGGTTTACTCCTTTCACCAAGTAGGTCTTGGGGGTCAAATGTAGGTCTTCAGGCTTCTTGGCAAAATGCTTTACCTGCTCAGCCATCTTCCCGGCCCCTACATGTTACTCTAAACTGAGTCATTTAGTATAGTACAATTCTGCCGTGGGATGTTCTGTAGGCTGTGAATGTGTTGCTCTGGTTGGTTGATAAATTAAAAGCTGATTGTCCAGTAGACAGGCAGGAAGTATAGGTGGGATAAGCAGACAAGGAGAATTCTGGGAAGAGGAAGGCGGAGTCAGGAGACACACGAGTCCACTGTCCAGGGAGCACCATGTAATGGCACAAAGGTAAAGCCCTGGAACACGTGGCAACATATAGATTACCAGAAATGGGCTGAGTTTAAGTGTAAGAGCTAGTCAGTGGTTAGCCTGAGCTCATGGCCAAACAGTTTTAATTAATATAAGTCTCTGTGTGTTTACTTGGGGGATGTGAGTAGGAGAGATTTGTCCTGACTACTGGCTGGCCAGGACACAGGAAAACTTCAGCTACATAATTCCAAATTTTCTTTAATAAATTTAGTTTTACCCAACTCAATACTTGCCAATGTGTTTGTTTGTTTAGTTTTCTATGTACTCACCTCACAGTAATCTTCAAACTCCAGGCCCAAATTCTCAGTAACTTCTAACCTTTCCTATTAGTAAATTCAAATTTTACTGTGTTCTGGAAGCATCCTATCACCCTCCCCAGAACTCTCAATTCTCGTTTAGAATGTGGACTGCTTGCTCTCTAGATTTATTGTGTAGCCAACAACCTTCCTCTTCCCCCTCTCCCTGGGTGTTCCTTTGGCCTCTCTCCTGCAATGTCTCTTTATCTGTTAATTTGTACCTTACTATTACTTTACTTTGGCTAAGCATAGTCCCGGGGGCTATTTTAGGAACACCATACTTAAGGTAAACCTTTTGCCAATTTGCCTATCTGATAATTTAACTATCCCTAATTAACAGGGGACTGTTTAATCCCTCTTTTCCTTGATTGATAGTGAGGCTAGGTGCAAAATTCTGGTTTGGAAGTGATTTTCCCCTTAATTTTAATGTCACTGATCCACTATGTTCTATCTGCTGAGGCCAGTGAGAAATATGATCTCACTCTCAGTACAATCCTTCATATGTGACCCTTTGTTTTTCTCTCTAGAAATAGCATTTTCTTCTTTTGCTTTTATTTCAAAATGTATACATATATTTACATATTTTTATTAACTATCCTGGGGACTTCTTAGTTCTCCTATGAGAAAAACCAACATCATTAATTCTTAAAAATGCTTTTTAAGTTTTTTTTTGTTATAATAACTTCCTACATTTCTTCTTCCATGCTGTAAGGCCTCTACGTGACTATTAGCTCTCATTGGCTGATATTATGTTTTTTCTTATCTGCTTTCTCTGGTTTTCATCATTTTGTTCAACTTCTTACATCTCCCTAGATTTCTTCAGGGCAATATCTTGATGCACTGTTTTACTTCTCTATATTACACTTAATTTTCAAATCTCATAGTCTCTGATTCTGAATCTTTCATAGCATCCTAATCTAATTCATATGTTAATTATGTGGAATGACTAATTATGACTTTTCAGATTAAAAACCTCTCTTGTTTTAAGCATTACCTTCGCATTCTTATTTTGGCTTATTTATTTGGGACTGATTCTGTGTTCACAATTTTCTCTAGGTGTCTGCTGATCCTCCCTTTCACATCTTAGAACTAATGTAATGAAAAACTTACTGGGAACTCCGCTTTATAGGGAAAGCATGTTGGCTGGTGGTGGACATCACTGCAAAACTACAGAGTCAGGATTTCTTAGAAGTGTTGGGCCAACTTCAAATGTCAGTACCTGTAATCATTTTCTATTGGGATGCTCTGTTTCCAGAGACAAGACTACTTTGTAGACTTGTAGCTTCTGAACACAAGTGGAGAAGAGGATCATCACCCACCACACAGAGCTTCACCTAACCCTCTCCATTTTAATCTGGTACTCTCTGCCTGCTTTTCTCCATGGCTGGTGTTCCTATGTCCTGGACTTGAGTTCAGACTTGCAGAGATTAACTCTTTGTCTAGTTGCTTAGGGAGAAATAAAAATGTCATTTGTTAGGGGCAAAGGAAGGAATCTGGAGAGCTAACTTTCAAGTCTTCCTATTTTGTCTGTATCTCACCACTGCCTTTGGATACCTTGTAGGCTACTTCTCAAGACTTTCAGGGTTTCTGTGCCATGTAGACAGGTACAACACAGGTTAGAGATTTTCTGAACATTTTTAGTAGAAAAAACTGTCGTCCTCCTTGGTTGGTGTCTATTATTTCCCCACTTTTAAATTAAGACTCTTTCCCGTGATTTTCCAGATCCCCACGTTTTCTTGTTGGCTTTCATCTGCCACCCTTTTTTCTATTTAGGTCTCTGAACAATTATTTTACTGACATTTTGTGGCATTTTCAAAAAAAAAAAAACTAAGAGATTTTATTCAAAACTGTCATTTACTTTTGATAAGCCTCATTTCCCTCACGCATAAAATGAACAGGTTATATTAGGTCAAGGTTTCCAACTACCATTTCATAAATGAGTATATTGATTGTCCTAGAATTTCTATGGGAGGTGGATAGCTCCTATGCATCTGCAAATCTAGGCAGGTGGTGTGGGGTCCTTGTTAGGATCCTGCCCTCTCTCCTCCGGGTCTTGCATCTTATGTCATCAGCGAGCACTGGCGACTATGTATGTGAAGTGTGGTCATGCAATCTGTGCCTTAAAAAAAGTCAGACATGGACCCCACCCCACCCCTCTGTTCCCTCCCTCTGCTCTCTGCTCTGCTCCATCCCCCCAGGCCTGGCTCCCCTCTCTCTCTCCTCCTTTCCTTCTAATAAAGCTCTCTGTAACTCTGGTAGTTGTGGCCATGGCTCGTGACTGTTCGGCCAGTAACCAGTGCTGCCACCAGCGCCATTTACCTATCAGTCCTAGTTTCCAATTTTTAATAAGCTTTGTGGTGCCTTTGAAGACAACAGGCTTTAGGAATTACTGTAGCTGTTGCCTGTGTCTTTCAATTCTATCTACTTCCAGTGTTCCCCTTGGGTCCTGTGTCTGCCCTGGCTAAGGTACTAAGGACTAACTCTGTGAAAATGGGGAGTTCCTTTGGTTGCACAACCTTGTGAAAAATCTGGTTTAAGCCTGCCAGAGTCATTGACTTGACACTAGCTTTGGCTCTTTTCCAAGTTCTTCAAATTTCACAATTTTCTTCCTTATTCACACAACTTCTTTAGTTTGAAGTTTTTTTTTTTTTTTCATCCTCTAAGAATCATCACCCATAAAATATGTGTCTGTATGCACACTGGAGACAAAGGACTAATTCTCTCTCTAGGATTTTCAGACAGGTCAGAAAGCTTTTTTTTTTTTTTTTTTTTTTTAACATAGAGATGAACCACAATGGCCTTCCTACTAAGACCTAGCATTCAGACACAAGTCATCTAAACAAAGAAATAGTCATTTGTTATGTTTTCCAGAAAATGTTAAGTCAAAGATGACACAGTGAACATGACTTATTTTTTTCTGTCTCCTTAGAATGGCTTTCTTTGGCCATTCTATTTTATCTTGGTCAGATAAAATAAATGTTATGTTAGGATACATTTATATCACTCATCTACAGCTTGATGTATGGATGTTTCCTCATTTATTGCTTCCTTATGCCTTGCTGGTAGGATGTCAAATTAATATTTGTGACTATGAAAAACATTCTTTATAGCATCTATTGGGAGAAATCCACCTTGTTTCTCATTATTTCAATTCCTTGAAAGTCAAGTCCAGGACTTTGACCCTTGGGCAATCGGTATCTTAGGTCAAAGAGTTTAATGAGGTCTGTACAGACATTAAAACTTGCTTTAGTGATAAGGTTCAGTGCACACCTACCACTCCTTGCTCTGACTTCCAGGATACTCGATTGAAGTAGGCCGTGATTAATGTTTGTCATACTTAGTCAGCATCTTACTACTAAGAGGTTGTTTTTACGTGTTCATTGATTACCGGTTGTGTTTCCACTCTCCCCTAGGCAACATAGGTGATAAAGAAGTCTAAGAATTGACAAAATTTCCATCGTAGAATTTGTATTGTAACTAGCTATTTTTTACAATAAAGGACTTTGTAAATTTTGTGTTTCTCTCTCCTCTCTTCTGTTCATAGTGTCACTCCTGTTGGCCTCCCACTTTGGTTTTCCTTCCTGGCCACCCATGATCCATCACTTTAGGGCATGCCTAGAAGTCTGAAAATATCCCACTGAGCTGAAAGACAGTATAGAGCAGGATTTGTAGATGAAGATTATGGATTCAAACCCCATTTATACCTTTTATGGAATATGTAACTTTCAGAAAATCAGCCCAATTCCTCATCCTTAGAACAGATTTACTGATAACTGCTAAATAAATAAGTGCTTATTACAAGAAATACAGCCAACGTATCAAAATGTTTTATGTTCATGTACTCAATAAGTCTTCAATGGTATTGATTAGAACAGTGATTCTCAACCTGTGGGTCATAGCCCCTTTGGGGTGATTGAACGACCCTCTCACAGGGGTCACCTAAGATCATCAGAAAACACAAACAATTACATTACAATTCATAACTAGCAAAATTACAGTTATAAAGTAGTAACAAAAAACAATTTCGTGGTTGGGGGGCAACACAACACGAAGAACTGTATTAAAGGGTTGCAGCCTTAGGAAGGTTGAGAACCACTGGAGTTGAGATAGAATTTGGGGAATGTCAATATTATAGATAGTAGAAAAGAGACAGATAAACAGAAAATGGCTCAAAAGTCAGGAAATGCTTCTGAAAGATCACCGAGGAAACAGAACAGCCACTGGTCAAAACTTCTAGTTTTTTCTGTCTCTGATTACTCTTATTAACTAATACATACCTAATGGTGCCTCTACCTCTCATTTCTCAAAACAAAGGGCGAAGAATTGGAAACTCATGGAGGACTGCTAAAAACAACAATACGGAAACCTACTAATGCCTCTCCATCCAAGAAAGCAAGGTAGACTGCATTCATCAAACAACCACTTGCCATGTTCAACCCGAAGGCTGAACAGGAGGAGCTGAGGGAATAGAGGACATAGGTGACTGGTGTGACTGAGCTGCAGGTGGGAAGTGATATGAAATTAGGGCAGAGGTGGGCAGTGGTGGTGCATGCCTTTAATCCCAGCACAGCAGAGGCAGAGGCAGGTGGATCTTTGTGAATTTGAGGCCAGCCTGGTCTACAGAGTAAATGAGTTCCAGGACAGTCAGGGCTGTTACACAGAGAGACCCTGTCTCCAAAACAACAAAACAAAACAACAAAACAAACAAAACTAAACAAAACCAGAAGGGCAGAGAGTTAGGGAGAGGGTGGTTTACCTGGGTTTTTCTGAGCTGTGTTCTAGATTGGTATTTTAAACCTAGAAAATTTAGCATTGAAGGGTTTTAAATAGAGGAAAGGATTTACTTTTTCCCCCTTCATTTTATATATTGACAATTCTAGTGGCAGGTAAATAGGTAAAAAAAGATAGGGCCGAGTACACAGGAGAATTGTTTGGGGGCTGTTGCTGTAATCAGATGATGTGGTAGTTGCCTTTTGTATAAGGGGGATGACAACAGAGATGCTTGACAGTTACTTAGGAAGCCCAGGTCTACAAATCCTGTGGCAGAATGAGATTAAGTTTTTTTTTTTTTTTTTTTGTATGTGTGTGTGTACTTAAGAATATTTTTTATATTTCTAGAAATGTAATGCTATATATAAATACGTATCTATAAATTATGTATTTATGCATATAAAATACATCATCTAAATCTTTAAGGTCTGAGCAGCAACCAAGACAGAAAACAGACGAATATTCACAGAAACATGCTGCTATTGAGCTACGATTACTCTTAAATCACTTCAGAGTGGTTTTGTCAATTAGTGAGTTATGAAATGTTCTTTGACTCCATCAAAACACTTTGGCATAAGTGTTGACAATTGTACAAAATAGATTAAATAAGTGAAAGGTGACTTCATGTTGATTCCTGAGTTCTGTGTGGGAGCTAGGTAGACGGTGGCAGTTTTCAATGGGGTGGAAAACGCAAGTCACATGCATATTCGTGGCCATGAGACAGAGCTCAGTTTGGATGTAAGCCAGAAGCATTTATGAGATGTCTAAGTAGACATCGGGTAGCAGTACCTGCAGAAGTAAAAAAACAGTCATCATTGTCAAAACCAGAGAAAGAACGTAAGGGGTGAAGATGGGCACTTTCATTTCTAGGACTTAGGCTCTAAGGGATTATTGGTGCCCTTGTAAATAACATCAGTCGTGTGACATGAAAAAGTATAGTGGATTGAGGAGTGCCAGGAAGATAAGAAATATAAAGCAGATCAAATGATCAGATATCTTTTAGATTTGTTGCATATTTATTCTTTTGCTAGTTAAAATGAGATCCATCTTGCAAGTCAATGAGTGTGGAAGTTGGTAACTAGTTATAAATGGTATAGAAAGACAAATCAGCCATATTTCTTTCTGCTCACAATCTGGTACAGAAGACAAACTAAAAAAAAAAAAAATCTTATATCATATGAGTAAGTCTTTCAAAAGGAGTGCTTAATTTTCTTTTTAAACCACAAGTACACATCTAAATTCCTGCGGAACTTTTGAAACATACCCAGGCTTTATCCTTGAATGTTTTGGCTAATTAGGTCTCTGGTGGGTTTGGGGATGTGCGTATCCAGTAAGTTCCCAGGTGATAATGATGAGAGACAATGGATCAAAATTAGGAATGTGAATTTAGGAGATCACTGTAAAAGAGGCTAGAATTTACATCATGAGAGATAGCAGGAATGTAGCCAGAACAGGAAACAGGACAGCAAATCCCGTCTGTGTTTGGATGTACTTGAAAGAGGAATTGGGTGAAGACAAAAGGTTTGATCCGCAACCATCCAAAAATTATTCTAAAAGAACGAATAAGACACTTAGTTCATCTCATGATTTTTAAAAAAAATGGAATTAAATTTAAAAATCAAATTTAGAAGAAATATTTTGCCCCAAACTATCTCACTTGCAGCATATAACCTTCTGTATACATATGCCTTTATCCTTAAAGGAAGCGTTATCACTAACACAATTCTTCAGAACCACGAAGTCCTAATAAGTAGTGAAGTAGTCAGCAAATATTTATACTTATGTATGCACGTGGAATGTATAAATAGTAAGTAAGCATTATTAATTAATTGTGGACTGGAGCAGATACTACAAAATGGGACTTTTGCACTTGGATGGAATACAGTGAAGCAGAGGGAAATTCTGCAGAACCATCTGGATTAGTGTAACCCAGCAGGAGTGATTGTAATCCAAGCATCCCAGCCTACTATTGTTCTAGATACCAACATCTTTTTTTTTTTTTTTCAGAGCTGAGGACTGAACCCAGGGCCTTGCGCTTGCTAGGCAAGCGCTCTACCGCTGAGCTAAATCCCCAACCCCTAGATACCAACATCTTATAACAACTTTGTAATTGAAGATTTAAAAAGATACAGCCTTACCAGAGGCTGCTGTACTAACATAGAACATTCTACAGCTTTAGTTAATAGCGGACAGTCACTATTAGTAACAGCAATGATTGTGTGACTTTTTTTTTTTCTGATTTTTGCATGGATAACCAATCACTGTCAATTATCTTAGTTTGTGAGGAATTTAATGGTTCCTACTCAAATGGCTCTATAAGAGAAGATAGAGAATTGTGGTTGATTATGATCGATGCCTGCTGTCTACATGTATGGAAATGCCTCGTTATTATGTTCAAATAATATAAAATAAAATAGAATACTCTAAAAGAAAAAAGAAAGAGGAATTTGAAAGGGGATGTGAAACAAGCCATGTAAGGCTTTAGGAAGAATTACATGAATATGAGGGAGCACGTAGAGAAGGTCTTTGAGAATCATTGAGCTACAGGAGAATGACATTGAAAAAAGTCAGTGTTTTGACTTGGTAGGCTGGTGCATCAAGATGAGGCAGCCTGGGTTCAAGGCCAGCCTGGGTTCAAGGCCAGCCTGGGTTAAATGGCCAGAACCTGCCTGGGGTTGTAGCTGTTTATAAGATCCAGGCTTTTATTTTCAGCATTGCAAACAACAACAACAACAACAACAACGACATTTTTAACGTTTTCGTCTCTGGTTACAGCAATGTCACAGAGAAGCACATCAAACAGAACAAAAGTCCTTGTAGTCCCCCACCCAGTGATAAGCACTGTCCATTTTCTAGTGAGTGCCCTTCCTGTCTTAGGGCAAATCCTTTTATCTCAGCAATTTTTAAATTTTTTGACATTATAATATAATTACCTCATTTCCCCCTTTCCTTTCCTCCCTCCGAGCCCTCCCATGTGTCGATCACTTGCTGTCTTTCAAATCCATGACCTCATATTATTTTTTGTTGTTATACACACACACACACACACACACACACACACACACACAGAGGCACCTGAGATCTTGCCACTTGGGAGGCTGAAGCAGCAGCCAAGTCAAAACACCAATTTCTTTTAATGTGATTCTCTTGTAGCTCAATAATTTTTAAAGACCTTTGCTACAATGCTACTTCATATCACACGCACGTATATATGTATGTATGTATGTATATACACACATATATATGCATATGTGTGCATATATATAAATACATATAATTCCTAAACACATAGAAACAGTCCTCTGAGTCTGTATAATGTTACTTGTATGTACATGTTTTCAGGGCTGACCATTTGGTATTGGATAAGCTATTGGCGTACCCTTCCTTTTTCTAGAAACCTCAGAAGCTACACCCATGAAATCTCAACAACTCTACAAATTTTTCAAGACCCTGAATGGAAAGAGTAGCCATTTATTTAGGCGGTGATTAATTGCAGGTCAAAAAATACTCTACTAATAAAAAGTCTGAATGAATAGACGGCTTTTGAATATGAACGCATGGCAAGATGATGTTGGAAACTTTCTGGGTGGAGTTATAACTATCCCAAAAGGTTATAGTGGAAAGTATAGACAAGCCTTGGCAAATGAGGCACTGGAGCCCAGCCAGCAAGGGCTTGTTTTGTGGGCAAAGCTGAGTTGGCCTACACAGCCGCGCCCATTTGTTTATGTGATGTCTGTGGCTGCTTTCCCACTACAACTCCAGGACTGAGTAATTTCAAGAGAGATTACCTTCCCAAGCAGTTTGAAGCACCTGGGGTCTGGCCTTTTCCATAACTACTGGCCGCTGCCTACTAGAGATCAGAGGTTTCCAGATTATGTCGGTTTCCCATAACATAATACATATTTTTGAGAAAGGACCCTGTATTCAAGGATGTTTGGAAAATGCTTCATTAAACAACTACAAAAATTTTTGTAGTTGGACAAATGATATAATTTAATGGGCTCATTGATAATTGATAGGAGCAGGGTATATTATCTATACCATATCCTCAATTTGGTCCTAGAAATACTGCTCATAAGCACATCTACTAACATCACATAGTTTGGAAAAATCTTAAATTAGTCTATTTGGAGGCCTTGCCAAAGCCATAAAATTTTGTAAATTTGTGGTCACGGTCTTTTAATTCTAAGATGTTTGTATAGAGAGCCTCCTTGGTTCCAAAGATCAGGAAATCACCCTCTGTACTGTATTTGTGGTCTGACCTATGCAAAGGAAATCTTAGCTTGGAGTGAGATTCCCAAGAGTTCCTTCCAGAAATGGAGAAAGGACATAGCCATAGCCATGCTGAGGTGGTATCTGGGTAAATTATTGGGTTGGACTTTTGGGGTGTTATTTACAGAGCCACAATAAGATTTTCATAGATTCTGGTCTTTTTTGGCTTTGTGGAAATCTTTCTTTTTAAAAAAAATATTGAAAATTATATTTTATAACTGCATTGGTATAAATAAAGGTATAATCTGAGTTGTTGCATACATTCATTTTTTTCCTTATGATTTGAAATTTATTAAAGCTAAAACAATTCAGCGTTCCTAAAAATACTATGGGCTCCACACATGGTGTCTACTGTGACTACAAGGTGAGTCAGCCCTGAGAATTGCCAAGGCATAATATATTTCCTGCCAGACTAAAGACTTTTGGGGCCTTATGTATTTTGTAGTCCTCTCCTACCTCCAACACTTAAAATATCTTGAATACAGTATTAATGCAATAATATCTGTTGAATGAGTGGATCAGTGATTAATTTCAAAGTTCTCCAATATCTCATAAGAGGATGAGAAAGTTAATACAGTAAAAGACGTTAAGAATTCTTCTAAACATGTAGCTGCATTCACACAAACTGTTAAAAGAGATTCAAGCACGTACATGTGATAGGAAGGACTCTGGAGGTTAGATTTCTTATCACTAGGCAGGACCACAGCAAATCATATAACTTTGAGTTTTAATTACGTAATTAGGAAGAAAAATATTAATTGAAGAGGTTTTATGAATATGCTTGACTACAAGCCAGAGAAAACAGCTAACCATTTTCTACTATTTTGGCTATGAATTCCTAGCAGGCTTTCAATACTGTCCCTGTGCAATACTCAGACCTAGTTCATTTAAACATTAAGCTCTCTGAGAAATCTTAATCACAGAGGCTACAGTCATAGGAGACATAATATGCTTTCAAAGCACAGGTCATTGACCCCTTCTAAGAGCAAAGCAAGTCAGAACGTTCTTAAAATACACTCAAAGACCCAGTAAGCCACCTAACTCAATTTCCTTCTAATACAGGCCTCTCCTGGGGGAATAGCCTTACCTGCTGCTTGTCATACTCTGTGAAACCAATAACACCCAGACTGCAGTGTTTTGCTTTCATTAGGAACTGTATCTAATCCAATGTATAATTAGTAGGAAAAAAAAGACAGGGTAGGTAATACATCACACAACATCATTAATGCAAGGAAAATGAAAAGGCCCAACAACTTACAGAACAAATGTGTAGCTGCTATTTATTTGCTAATAAATAGGGCAAGAGAGGCATTCCTTTATCTGACAGTCGTTGCCTATCCAATAAAACAACCT